TATTTGGTTAGGTGGCTTAATTGAATTTTTTAGTCAGCTAACCAACAGTTTTTGTTTTGGTTCAAACAAGCGTTTGGTAACATTAATAAAAGATTCTTTGTTTAAAGTTAAATTAGTAATTTCCAAGAGTATTTATTTGTGCTAACACATCTTTCCTAACGAGGAATCACTAGTGTCCACACTAACTGCTGTTCTTTGACGATTAACATATATTGCTGCCACAAGTGCTTTCGTTAACTAATATATATATAATATTTTATTCAGCAATTAATTAAAATTTAAACCTTGTTATTAATCATACCTTTTTATTTAAAGCAAATAGACTTTATATATGTACACATAAATATGTATGTATTATATTCTAAGTTATTTAAAGATACATATTCAATATTAAATAACAATTTTGAATTATTTAGCGTTGACAGTCTTCTACAAATTCATGCTTTGCATAACATGTTACAAGCTATGGATTGCTCAGGAACTCGTACTACAATTGTTGAAGATTATGAGGCTGAAAAAAATGCATTAGAGTGGAAATATATTCAGCAATATGTGAGTGTAATGCGAACTGTCGAACTTGATTATGAAAGTAGCAAAGAAGCATATGAAAATTTGCTACGAGAATTGGATATGCCACTTTTGAATTTCTTAAGTACCCTCTCTGAGTTAGTGTTGAGGGAACAAGATCAATTGCATGAGCCGTTAATGCATAAAATATTTGATGAATGTCAAATTTCATTTCCAAAGAAGGTACATGCAATCGAATCTGTCAGAAGTTTACTGTACACTGTAAGTATATGGATGGAAAAAGTAAATAAGCTACAAAAAAAGTTGTACAAAGAATTTGAGAGTATAAAATTTTTTACTAATAATGTCCGGGAACGCAAAAATATTGATGAAGATATGTGGTGCAGAATGTTGCAGTTTATCAGCACTGTTAGTGACTGCCATCTGTATAGAATACGTGTAAGTATTTTCCTTAGAATTAACTATATTTAATTTAAACAATTGCATTTATTTTTGAATAGAAAAAAAATAATGAGGACGATGAAGAGCAAACCAAAAATAGAGAGATGAATTTCAAAAGAGGCGCACCGAAGAAAAAAAATGACCAGGGCTGCAAATTGTGTACAATTAAAAATTTGTTAGATGAGTGTGAGTCCTTGTTTTTCAACAAAAATAAAAATCAGGAAGGCAAAAAACTAAACACCATGGAAGTAGTTTTAATTAAAGGTTCGTTTGTAGCGCATATTTTAGTTTTCAGTGATAATTACTGATAATTAATTATTCAATAGTATTTTTAAATTTTATGAAAACAAAACAAAGATTTTATAACTGTCACGGTAATATTGATAAGTATTTGGAGGTGTTTGAATCGATGCAGAGTCTTCTAAAGAAACAGGCTAAGTTTTGGATTGAAATAGAATATACAATAAAAGCATATGACGAATTGGATATGTGTAAAACGCGTATAACACTCACGGAAGACGAAGATGATGACACAAATTTTAAAATTTTAGAACTGGAAGTAAGTGCTATTTTAGTTTATTTAAAATTGTTTCGGTGAAATAATTTTTTTATATAATATGTATACCGTTTTAGTTAGCGGAGTCTTTTACAGCATATAAATACGTTTACCAAGCAGCGCAACATGACTTCACGACTAAATTGGCACGACTGAGATACATAAATCATCTTAACTCAAATGCTGAAAATGGGCCCTGTCCGATATGCCAACTTGAAACCGAGACTAGAGTAATTGCAATGTTTCTTTATTTTAAAATAATATATTTTAATACATATATATCAATATATAGTATGCCGTGTTGGACTGTGGACATCATATCTGTTTTTTGTGTCTACAACAAATGCAGCGAATGAGCAAAGACAAGCGTATAACTTGCTCTATTTGTAGACATGTCCAAAATACACATAAGTATGCTTTTGTTTTCTATAAATTACTATATTTTTATACGTAAAATATTATTGGAACTGTTCAAAACCCATACTGGGGGTTTAATGTTCAATTTAAGCGGAATGTTCCAAAGTATTCCAAGGGACATCTGCTAGTATTTTTATTTTCTGAAATGATGAACTGTACTTTGTCATTGAAATTGACGCGTGGATCCGGCATGTAAACCCAGGAATCTACTTGCAAGATGTATTCATCGATCTCTTTCTTAGGGCCATGTTATGCAGAGTGGCAAAATTCGCTCTTTCGGGCTATGCCGAAAATGGATTTTATGCGGAGTGTCACATCAGTATTGCCAATTTTGTATTTTTACTATTTCTTGGTTATGTCTAAATTTAAAAGGAAATTTAGATATGCTCACTTTCAATTTGCCACCAAAAATAACAAGCAAAAAAAAACTCATAGGGGCTGTAATAAAATGTTAATTTATTATTATATTATCTTATAATAATTGTTAACAGTACTTACGCGTTTCTTTAAAATCGGAAAGTGTAAAAATTATATTATTAGCAATTTTTAAATATGACTATGTTGCTTACTGCCATTTTTTCTCCAAAACGTATTAGAATTGTAGTAATTTGCTCCTAAAAGGGGGAAATTTTGAAGTTTATTACTAAACAACACTGTTTTGCCTTACTGCCGGGGCACAAGTACGCCGGCTCTTATACTGGAGTTTGAACGGCCATATTGTTTTTTCTCTCATTCACAAATTTTTAATTTGCATTGAAAACAACAACAATTGTACTCATGCCGTGCCCGAGACACTCTGTCTAACATGGCCTTTACTATCATGTTTATATCGACACCTACGTGGCCTTACATCCTTGTACATAGATGTCGTATCCTTTTCGTGACCACGACAGTATAGCAGCAAAGTTCTCAACATGCCTCCGTCCTATATTTTTCGGGAAAAACTACGCTTTCTCCGTGCAGCAAAACTGATTTATCCCAATTGAAGTCAAGATATAGCTATGGGCAGAACACTACGTGTCAGTGTAAAATGTGTGCCATAACTGCTACTCTATTCCCCCTGATATTGTCCATCTGTTTTTATGTTCTAATACAAACACCAATTTGAGTTCAATTGATCTTTAGCTCTGTCCCATTAAAGTGGCTAGGTTTCTTAACCCTGACCCATATTAGCTTGAGTAAAAATCTGACGCATCCTCAATTCACAATTCGTTTACATGATAATATCTTAACCCATGTTTACATTTTTGTAGTTCCTTTCACATTATCTGCTATATAGTTCTCTAATGATTACTACAACAACAACAACAACTTGATATTCGAACGTTATATTGCGTTTGAGAGCAGTTGTTTTGTTATATATATATATATATGCTGTTTATGTTTCTCAAACGTTTTTGAGTAGAAAGATCATTTTCGAACATCTCAGGTGTTTCATTTAAATGTTCGAAACGGAATCAATTCGAACTATCTGAAAATTGTGATACTTGAGCGCTTTAAAACGCTTCTATAATCAATTAGATGTAATATTACACACATTAATTGTTATTTCAGAAT